AGCAACATTTGTTCATAAGCCATTGACACACACATACACACACAGTTTGTGCTACAAGGAACCCTCTCATCAACCAACCACATTACAAGCAGATGGTGAATATTATATGTGAAGCAGAAACATAATAACACCTTACATGAAAGAACTTTACTACAGAGTTGCTTCTGACTTAAAGGATAAGTCCTGTCATGTTCTCTTCTGCCGTTGCTTTCAACAAATCCCATGTGTCACTGTAATCCAGTAATCATTACGTGTTAGCTATAGCTTTTTTAGATGTCATAGTTGTCCATTATTGTCCATTAACGGTTAAACAAATATCACCGGATCTCAAAATTTCATAACAAAATTAAAGTGCCACAGACGAAGTAGAGCAACTGTTGAGAGTAGTAAATATTGTTTGCTGTGGTCACTTCCCAGGAGGAACAGAAATTATGGGTGTATCAGTAGGCGTATTTGTCCTGAAGCATGAAGAACACAATGTTAAGTTTGGTATGAAATGTCCTCAGAGCAGTACGCCCTGGGAACTAAACTGCCACGGATCTATTTATGGTCACATACTCGCACTCCCCAAATGCTCCACCCTGAAATTTTGGCAGTTCAGCAGTAGCTGTCCATCAGGTACGGTGTGCTAGTAAGGTTAGCTTAAGTTTTTTTTTTCTGTAGAGCTAATTGCCCATTTTCATGTTGCACATAAGCTAAATAAGTTAATGATAAAGTCATTTTAGAGTCCATCGCCATTAGAAACTGAAGGGCTGCGCCGAACAAAACTGGGTTTTGTCAAGTTTTTCTAGAAACTTTTTTAAAAGAAGAGGTAGCTAAAAAAAAAAACTTTAAAAAAGCTAATGCTAAATTAGCAGCAAACCTTTCAGAGCTAATCTGCACCAGAAGTTTTGTCAGCTTGCAAAATGCTTGTCATATTGTCGCAGTCGTAATCTCTTGTTAAATATTTTACCGTTGCTGACAAAATAAATTCACAGTAGTCTGCAGACAATGAAGTCTATTGTCTGTAGCAGGATGTAAAAAACAAAGGACAAAAGTGATCTGTACACTTCTTAAAAGAAAGTTTTCTATTTTGTTAAACAGCTCAGGCTTTTCTTATTGTCAAGATAAAGAATCTGAGTGTATTAGCTGTTACAATAAGAGCAATTAGACATTTTAAGATCTTTTTAAACAATGGGGAAAGTGCCATTTTTGCTTTATTTTTTCCCTGCTTTGCTGAAAATATACTGAAACCTGAACCCAGCACAAAGTTTTTGTATATTACAACACCATATTGGTCATATTGGGAAATTTACATAAAAATATAAATAAATATTTGTTAAATATTTGTTTTAGAGTACACATCCACTTTTAGAACTAAAATTTAAAGTAAGTAAGTTGGTTACACAATCTGAATTATGGCACTTTTGAATGTAATTAACTTTTATCTATTCTTTCTCATTGTTTATGTTGTTTTTCATGGTTTCTTCCTTTTGCTCTTTTTTAATCCCCTCATGCCAGATGGCCCCCCTCTCTGAACCTGGCTCAGGAAAGAAGTTCCAGTTCAAAGGAACTTCTTCCTCCTCACTGTTGCCAAGTGCTTGCTCACAAAAGACCGTCTGAATGTTCTTCCTCTAAAATTGTGTTTGTAATATGAAGTAGTCTGTTGTAAACGACTGCTTTTGAAACATAAAAACTGTATAAAGTATCTGGGCACTACTGCTGTTTACATACTGTATTGAGGTCTTTGCTGGACAAATGTCATATGAAACTGGAAAACACCCGACTGAGAAGATGTGAACAAGCTTTGTGTGTGTGTGTCTGTCTGTCTGTGTGGATCTGCAGTGCTCTGCCAATGCTACAGACATTTCAGAGCCCTGTGGCGTAATTCAGTGTGTCAGATACAAGAGGAAATAATGTGGTGAGCATCTCGTCGAATCGCTCCGGCTTAAACGGTCTCTCTCCAGAGTGTGTTTAGGAAATTAAAGGCCGGGGATTTTTTTCATAATTGTCTAGTTTATCATTTTATTACAGCTAGCTTTCCTCTGATGGGCTCCCTTTATGATTTATCAAATACAATTACTGCATGACTTATTTTAGGACCATTAATGTGTGCACGTGTGTGTGTGTGTGTGTGTGTGTGTGTGTGTGTGTGTCAGCTCTGGTGTATTTAAATAGCATTAAGTAATTGGAAAAACAGGACGAGAAGCTGGAAAATCTAAATTGTCTTTGTGGATTTATACCCCCCATTCAAACACACACACACACACAATCACACACACTCTCCTTTTCCTTTTCTCTCTGTTGCTTCTGAGTAAATATCCAAAAAGCTTCTATTTTAAACGTAAAATAAGAGAAAATTGTGTTTTAACTGATAGAAGCTAATCTGAAATAGTTTCATTCTTGTGCTGTGACAATATTTCACAATATTTCTCAAGGAATGAGGAAAATGGGGATGTAGAGAAACAGAGAAAGGAAAGAAACAGTCACAGAGAGAAAGAGGTTAATTCCATACCTTCGCCTTCCAGCTAATGAAGTGTAGGTGGCGTCCCGGTCACTTCAGCTAATTGAACAGTGGAGATTACAGCAGCCGCTGCTCCCCTCTGTGAAAAGAGGGCCGTGTTCATTAGTCGTTGCCATATAATATTCATTCTCTGTAGAAATATGTAGATAGTAATCTATGCAAAGAGCTGCTGGTATGATTATAAAGCTCTCAGCATGTTCTCTGGTAGCAATAACTCAAACAACCATGATTTAAAATACTGCATGTGTCTATGTTTAACTTTATGGCTTCGCACTGAATTTATGGGCCATTATCAATTAGACGTATACTCAGAAGAATCTATTAATATTTATGTAGGGCAATGTATTAATTTTGACATTTAACAAACCAGAAAAACAGTAAACCTAAAGTATATCCGTATCTGAGTATTATTTGAATTATTTGAATGGCTTTAGAGAGCAATAACTCCTGCGCAGCTAGTAATAATGGGCACAGTTGATAGTCTTGGTAACACTGTGACAGACTTCACTGAGGCATGTCAGTGCAACTCTAGGCTGCCCTAAGTAAAACAAAGTCTATGGACGGAGAGTCATTGAATCCCCTAGCTGGAATATGTGTCAATTTAAAATCCTCAAGAAAGCAAGACGAGATGGCAAAGCTAGTCATGAAAGGCTCAGTTTAATTCAGCTTTATTTATATAGAGACAAATCACAGCAGCAGTCACCTCAAGGCGCTTCGTATAGTAGGGTCAAAAGCCTACAATAATAAAGGAGACCCCAATAATCAGACAGGTAAGGCAGCAAGAAACTCAGGAGCAGCCCTGAGTTTGAGATAACATTCGGCGTCCTGTTGTATTCAAATTGATGGTGTATAAACTGGAGTTGTGGCCATCAGAGAGTTGTCCCGTTTTTAAAACAGGCAGTCTTTAGTCACCAAAATCCTGAAACCAATTGTCAACGGACTTGTCTCACATTATAATCTTGGCCTTTTCTCTAATGCACTTCTTCAAAAGCCTTTCCACCACATTTGTAATAATAAAATGTTTATTTGTCATTACCAGCATTCTTCTATTTTCAGTCATTCTGGAATAGAAATAACGGCCATTGTCATCCAACCTATTCTGTGCATGAGAAAATTGATGCTGCTAATTACAAGGTATGTCTTTGTACCCATGTACAAAGATTAAGGGAATGTGTGTACAAAGCAATGTTACATAATTAAAAGCTGCAGCAATGACACTCGTGTAACCGTGAGGTTGATTAATGTCTCTGGTTTGTTGTGTTATGTTCACGAATTTCATTGTCGTCTTCACGCCATGTAACGCTCATGTGACAGGTCGTTAGGCTTTGATTTTGTAGTGCGGTCCTGTGATAAACGAGCAACATGCTATAAGCTTTTCTTACATGTACAGTGAGTTGTGTGACTAAAACGACCGTCTCGGTCATTTGTTTCTACTGTCTGAAAAGGCCCACGTGAGTAAGCCTTCCTAAAATGACATACAGTGCTGTTTCACTCCAAAGGACCCAGAGAGTCCACATCAGGAGGCGGGTGGGTTTGTGGTTTCACAAACACACCCGGCTCCAGTCTTGCGGCTTTCTACCATTTTTGAGTTGCACTTTTACTCCCTTGGGCGGTGGTTAGCACCAGCACCTCACAGCAAGGAGGTCCTGTAGGTCCAGCAGCTGGGGCCTTACTGTGTGGAGCTCGCATGTTCTCCCCATGTCTGCAGTGTTTGAAAACTCTGGTTTTCTCCCAATGACATATATGGGGTGAGGTTAACTGGTGATTCTAAACTGGCTATAGGTGTGAATATAGCCTAACGACAGACTGGTGATCTGTCCAGGGTGTACCCTGCCTATCACCCTATGGCAGCGGGGATAGACTCCAGCACCCCCAAAACACCCTGATGAGGGCAAACAGAAGAAAATGAATGAACTTTTACTCCCCAGTAACTTTTATTGTCATTCACCATTTGATTAGGTTTAGCTAGCAGCACTTCTTGGTTAATGTAAGGAAAAGACTTTGGTTTGAAGTGAACATACAATACAATAAATACATAAATAAATTTATAAACACAACAAATTCACCATTTACAGAAACCTCCATTTACAAAAAACGATAACGTACTATCAGAAATTTACAAGGACATTTTCCATGTTTTTATGCATATTTTTTGCAGTGTAGGATTTAATAACATCAAGCATAAATGACAGCGTGAGCGTTTTTCTGAGGGGAAGTCTCTATTAATAATAGTGGAAAGTGTAATGAAAATTGCTACTAAAGCAGAATTACTGTTACATAACTGAAATGTTACTCAACTAAAAACACACTGCCATTAAATAGAAAAAATACTTAACATAAAAGCATAAAATAACCTTCAAAACACACTAGGGATGTTTAATGTCAGGTGTCCTGTGGGTGTAACAGTTTAGAAAATGGATGGATGAATGTTTAAATAAAGTTAACTGAAGTATATCGCGGAAGGGTTTGTGAATCAGTAATGGGGGTAGTTGTGAATAAATGAATGAAAAAATAATAATCAAGAACGTCCAGTGAGAGCAGAGTTTATTATACTCACAGCCTTTACTGTGAATTTATGACAAACACACCAATTACTTATCTTAACTAGTTTATGGAGTTATACAGACTGCAGGTGTGTCCATGTGTGTGCGGTGCGTGCGTGCATTGACAGACAGAGAGAAAGAGGAGGCAGTGGGCACGACCTGCAGAGGTGGGAGTGGGCCCGCGTAGGCAGACAAAAGATTTTAGAGTTAAGCAGGAAAGTTTGGATGGTCTAACGTGACAGTTTTCTTCTAACTTTCTTCTGGGAAGGACAGAAGCAGGAATGTGTTGCAAGTTAGTAAAAGGCAAGAAAGAAGCACTAAAAGACTAGCACGACCTGTTCATATTCGTACTGCCGAGTCTATCCAGTCTTAAACGTCTTAAAACTTATTTTTTTACTTTGGCTTTTGATTCTGTCTAGTTGGCTGGTCTAGCTTGTTGTGTTGTTACCTATTGTTTGTTGTCCTCTTTTATTGTTTGTTTTAACTGTCTCATGCTTTTACTGACTGTGAAGCACTATGGTCAACACTGTTGTTTTAATATGTGCTATATAAATAAATTTTGATTTGATTTTGATTTGACCCACCTCACAGTCACAGTGAGTAATAAAATTACTCAAATATATGTTAGCGTGCAGTCTTAAAGAAATTATATTTAGGATCTAATAACACACAACTATTGAACTTTTTTTTGTCTTGGTGTTTTTTTTTGTCTGATAGCTTTAAAACTCAAATTGTGGCCCCTGCTTAGCATTTAAAGCAGTAAAATTGATTTTCTAGTGTAAATCACACTTTTGTAAGTTGTGTAAATTACAACTTGGAAAAAAAGCACAAGTACTGGCCAGAAATGATTTAATTGGAGTGGGGAAAATATTGAGGCATGCGCACTCTTTCTCCCTGTGAACTGCACTAATCAGCCTTCCCCACCCGTTAATATTTGCTAGCTCACTATCGCAGGATTCGTGTTTTTTAAGTCACCTGATGCCGAAGTCACTGAACAGAACTCGACAAAAATTCGTCATGTCTTTATCAGGACAAAAACAAAACTCCTCTCTGCTTCTGTCACTTTTCTAACCCCACTGAACCCCCTCCTCCCTGCCTCTTGTTGCCTATCCAGCACAGTGGGACCATGTCTCTCTCTCTTTTCCTCTCTCTCTCTCTCTACCTCTCTCGCCCCCTCCCTCGGGGCAGAAGTAAACCACGCCTTGAGGCCCTGCTCCCATTGTGTTTTCTCTGCTACTTCTGTTTGGGGCCTTTGTGTGCCGCTAATCAGCCGTGGGGCCATGCTCAGCCTCGAGTGTGTGTCTGCGAGTGTGCGTGCGTGTGTGTGTGTGTGTCCCTTGCCCTCATTACGTAGCCACACTGGGAGGCCAGCATGGGAAGTTTCTGCTGCCCTCCATCGCCCCCTCCACCACCACCACCTCACCCCCCTCTAGCTGTCCATCACTCACTTCCTCCCCCTATCCTCATCTCACCAACCCTTGGACCGGCCACAATTTTAAAATAAAACTGCACCTGCTTCAGTGGCTACATCAGAAAGTGATGCAGCAGTGGAGCAGAAAAACAACAGCGCTTTGTTCTAAAGTCCTCACGGTCACAGATATTTGCTGCGATGATTAGCGTCATTATTTTCGGAGCTGGAATGAAGCGATTTTGCGACAGGAACGGATTCTCTGTGCAAATCACAAAGTCTTTTCAACTGAATTTAGCGACAACAAAAGCGGGACTCCTCCACCCTAACACAAGGCTGAAAGAGTAAAAGTTTTAAGTGAAACTTCTCACTGCTTTTCAGGTCTTTTTTTCCTTCTTTTTCCAAACACGAGCACTTACAATACAGTAGGCAGGATGTTGTAAGAGAATCTTTTTTTTTAAACCAGGCTATAGTTGTTATGCTTTAACAGTTTAACTATCATGACTTGTTTAATAGCTGGTGAACATTCTGTGAACAAATATTGCCGTAATGTCACTGTCATCTGGGGATACAGTCATCTATACTGTCAAAGTCCTGGCTGTATGATTTCAGCTGGATTTATTAAGTAGCGTATTGTAATAGTAAAGAAAAAAAAACCTGGGGGTTGGAATAGTGTGCAGACCAATAATTAGTCATTTTATTTGTGAATGATTTAAGGCGTCCTCTTCAGAGTTTGAGCTTTTCTTCACAACATCAACAACAACACTTTCTTTTGTCTCACGTTCACGTGTTTAGCATGAGTCAACTGATGATGACTACTTCTCTCTTTTAAAAAGACAAAACTGAATTTCCAGTTCCAGTTGTTCTTTGTGACAATCAGTTTGTTTGTTTCTTCTTTTTTGTCTTTCTTTTTATAATTTATGTCTTTGTGTGTTTCACCTGCCTCGAGACAAATTTTCTCTTTTGGACATTGAGTTAAGTTAAGAGGAAAATGTTGCCCTCGCTGACAAGTAGCCTACTGGGTTCAGTATCAGTGCAAAGTCCAAGAAAACAATCTCAGTTTACACAGCCCTGTTTGTTTGGCGGGTTGTCTTTACAGAGATTAATGAAAGTTCACTGCAGTAACGCAAAGTAAAGAAAAACTGAAGAGTTATTTTTTTAGATTATCTTTCACTTTCAGTGTTACTTAAACACATCAGTAAGCTGGACTGAGTGAACTGTCCGCTGCCCTTTAGTGCTCCTCCCCTGTCACCTGCTGGATGCCTCTCTACCCTCATGTTCCCTCCCCGCTGCTCCACCGCTTCACCCCCTTCCCATCTACTTTCTCCCTCCTTCAAGTCTTCACTGTTCATGAAATGTCACCTGTTCACATGAAGTGTGTCTCTCTGTCTCGATGCCCGATGAAGCTTAAGCCGCTGGACCTCTTTGCCTTGAGGACAAGCATAGCCTGTTCATTGCTCATGTATACACACACACACCCACACCCAAACACACACACACACACACACACACACAGACTCTGTCTCTGTTCAGTCAAGAGCTACACGGCTGTCTTAAATTTCATTGTGGGACAGAGAATATCCTCCCTATATATGTCACTCTCTCTTCCTTTAGCTCATTTCTTGCTTCCCCTGACTTATCACACACCCCTGGCCCGTCCTCAGTCCTCCTCTGCTGTCCGACAGTTTAGCTCTAGGTCATCAGCTTCGTCTACTTACTGACCTAAATTCATGTTACGCCACATAATTAGGCTGTGTGCTTGTTTCCGTTCCCACTTTCAAAGACAGGTCTAAAGAGCTTGAGAAGCGTCTTGAGAGGGGAGACTTCTGTCCTGTGTCCAATGGCACTCAACAAGTTCTCCAACTAAATGGAGCATAGGAGCAGCAGGAAACAGGCAACAATAAACTGTTAGAATTTTTGTTAGGTTAGAGGAAAAACCCTTGTTTAAATCATCGTTAGATGTCCAAGATTGTGAGTGTTACAGTGTTTCCTTCCCACTGTTGCCAAGTGAACAAATTCCAGTTCCTGGGTATGGGGCCGTCTGATTTTTGAGGTTTTCGCTCTATTATTATATAGTCTGTAAATTTTCCATGAAATTTTGGTACATCACAACATCATTGAATCTGGACAAATAAAATGTACTTGACATATATATGAAAGTATGTTTATACCAAACATACTTTCATTGGTGATTAATTATTGGAATTTAAAAAAAAATTGATTTTCTATATTCCAGTTGCATTTAACTCAGAACTATTGGTTCATGTCTTTGAGGCTGATGAAACCCTCCATCCACCTTAACCTCCTCTGCAGTGGTTCTGAAACCACAGTAGACTTCCTTTGCAGCCGAGGAGCCTTTGAGAGAAGCACTGAATACTCATCTAATTCTAGTGAAGCGAATGAAAAAAATTTTGAGCATAGACACAAAAATACACGTCTTTGACATATCGCCTGGAGCTGAACTGCAGTATATTACTAGGTTCCGACACAACCCACATTTTGTGAACACAGATTAATATATAAATAAACTAACATTTCCCACAAGAGTCCAATAAAAAAATGCCTCAGTCGGGGGACAAAACTGACATTTTCACCTTGTGCCATAATTTTTTGCAGAAAACTAATCTCAGAGCTAAAGGTGCTTACTGTTACCTCAATGACATTGCACATGTTTCAACAGAGAATCAACAGCATGAATGTCTTGTTCTCACCTGGAAAAATTTCGATTGGTTTCCTTGCTGGCTCAAAGCAGCAATCTCAGCTCAAGAGGACACACAGAGGAAATGTTGTGAGACCCCCAACACCACGGGTGGCTCTGCAGGAACAGCGGACCAACAACTTAGCTCTAAAGAGAAACACGGGCAATGTTTAGTACAGGAAAATAAGTGCTCTTCCATAAACACCGCAGAAGCCAAAACATTGAGATTAACAAAAATTGCAGAGCAGCAATAATTTACATTCCTCAAAACAAAAAACAAGTTCAGGCCAATCTTTTTTTTTTTTGGATTGCTTTAACATGACGATCTGTCATGTAAACCCAGGACAGAGTAAAGGGAAACCAGAATCATAAAATAACAACACGCCTCATAAACTACCGCTATAAAGGTTTAACTAAAGCCTTAAAATAGCAATTACATCAACTGAGTTTCGTTTACAGAAAAAAAAATCAAGTACACAGTGAGTGTATTAATATATGTGTGTGTGTGTGGGTGTGTGTGTGTGTGGGTGTGTGTGTGTGTGGGTGTGTGGGTGGGTGAGAGAGTAAAGAGTAAGAGCAAGAAAAAGATGGTAATTAGTTGTGACTCAAGGTTTCCCTGACCATAATCCTCTGAACAATCTACACTCATACAGGTGTTCACTAAATCCAATTACCAACAGAAGAGGCAGTGGAGAGGAGAAGGCTAAATTATTTTTAGCATTAAATAATACTGAAACGTTTTTGGGGGGTTGCCAAATAATAAAGTTGTATGTTGCACCTTGAATCGCCTTCAAAATGCATTTTCCAGTCACTCGGGGAGACGGATATGCAAATGAAAATATTCGCAGAGCATCTACACTTCAGTCAGACTTTGAGTTTGTAGTTTACATTTTCATAAATGACTTTGTGTTTATAGATTTCTGTCTTTTAAATAAGGTCAATAGCACTACCAACACGGAGCTTATGCATAACAATAGCTGATAATATAGTGGACTCATATGACTGCCCCTATGTTTACAGAGCGCAACAAAGACGAGGCATTACATTTCAAAAGCTGCCTATTTATGTCAGGAGAGCTCATGCTCTTAAAAATGGTAATTGAGCTTTGGTTCAGCACATGCATAATTACCTCTTTAAGACTGTCTCTGCTATTTCTTTTGTATTCCCGTGTATCGGTTTTGATATGTAAGTCCAGATATTGTGTACAGTAGATCCAGTATGTGTCACTGTGGTATTGTGCAGACCTCATCCTCTGATCCCCTGTATGGTTAAGCAGACCACAGAGCTCTGAGCAGGCTTTTGCAGCTTATTCAAATCAGAGCACTACTCCATCAAAGCTTCTGTTAGTTTAGCTTAATTGTAACTGAAATGAGATGAGATTAGAAACAAAGGCAGTCATTCTGTTACACAGTAAGCATGGCCAAGACTCTTCTAAACAGCACAAAGTAGTCAGCATAAAACTGTTAATGATTTTATGTCAAAAATTGCTTTCACCTGTTTGTACAATCAAATTCTAACCAAAATAAGACATGACCTGATTGAAAAAGTAATAGAGAGTTAATTTTTAAATAAACGTGCAAAGTATTAAACTTCTTCAACTGAACATCCCATAATAATAATAATAATAATAATAATAATAATAATAATAATAATAATAATAATAATAGTAACTATTATAATGAACATATACCTGACATGCTCATCCTAAACTATGGAGGTGTGCAGTGTGGAAAAAAGTTAAAGTGACATGCTGTTCATCAAATAAATGCA